TGCAGCTACTAATCAGAACAGAGTTTCACAGCGCACGTTTATGACTCGCAAGTCTCCTAAGGAGCAAGAATCCAAAATTAATTTCGCTAATACCGTCGCAGCATCCCCGTGCGCCGTGACTCCCCGGGTATCAAGAGAGCCTAGAATTAATTTAGAGCGCTAATTGTGAGGCCATCCCTTAAAAATGTCAACAAGCGCCAAGTGCGAGAGCGCGAGAGAGCGTTGCTTTATGGCCAAATTGACGAGAGGCGGAGGTCCAAGGGGGAATCTTTTCTCTATTTTATTTTTCCTTTTTTTTTCTTCTTCTTGCTCTTCTCTAACTCTTTTTCCTTTTAGCGCTCGAGAGATAATTAGATTTGAAAGACGATTCTTCTCTTCATATCACGGCTCGCAGCTTGTCTTAATGACACTTGGAGTTATTTCCTTCGCTTTTATAAGGTACATTTTCTCGAGCGTTTAGTTGCTCTTTTGATACATTATGCTTAAACATTGCGGCAAATAACTGGGGTTTATTATGCATATGCATATGCACGACATTTATGTGACTATTGTTAAATCATTGTTTAAGTATGTATCATTGTATAGATGCTTTTGATAGCGAAATTTTGATAGCGAGAATATTCTCAGATAATGCATCCCTGACAAAAAAAACATCAGAAAGTTAAAGGGTGAAAGAAAGATGGAAAAAAAACGACAGAGGAAAAACAGCAGCAATTTTTTTTTCATAAAAAAGATAAACATTATCCACTTTCACGAGTAAGATATTTCCTTACCGGCCGCGGGTTAGAATAAGACGAAATGGGCTATGTGATATCATTATCACCGGATAAAGGGCAAATGATCCCAAGCTCTGACCATATTATGTTTCATGATAAGGTCTCCGGATATACCATCTCGTTTAATACAATATATCGTTCGTCATATGGTTGATAGTAACAAGCGGATGGCCTCTTAATGGTATAGAAGATCCGATACTCTAATATTCATAACGCCAACTCTCGGCACTTAAGAGTAACTATTATACCTTTGACTGAGTACGCAGGTTAGTAGGTATCAACTATCACATATGTATAGGATTCATGGACTTATTGTGGTTAAGTGTACGAACTCCTGGTGCTCAATAGAGACGCTCACAACCATATCTTGAATATATTCATTCTGAAGCAGTGAACAAAGCCTTGTTGTCTGGTTGCTTGATGAGCAGCGTTGGCGGCACAGTAGCACTAAATCTCTTGTTCAAAGTGGGTGCGTTTAGACCAAAGCAATCGACAAGTATTCGGTTGTATGAGCAGTTATGGAGAGCACGATGAATAATGTTCACTAGCGAGGATTGGGGTCCACATTACAATTGATTCATTACGTGTGCTGAGGGGTTGGTCTAGCTTTTCATTATCATAAGGAGCACGCGATAATCGCGGGACTGGAGTAGGTTGTGACATTAAGTTATACAAGTAAATTGGAGTTATTGGTATCATTATTGTTATCATTAAGATTTTATGTTTGTTATTGTTATGGAGACTAAGCAGGGAATTATAGTTAATTTATCATTGAAAGAGCAATTTATTGTGGGTTATCAGATTCAAGTTAATTTCATACATTGAATATTATTAGTCATATAGGAGATTATTATTAATTGAAGAAGAGAATCATTATATTACCTGTATTATATCATTATCATGTATTATATTATTATTATTATATAATTGATTGTTATAAGAGCAGTTATTGGATGTATTGGCTATTATATTTAAATCATGTATCTTGTTATTGGCTGAAGGAAGGGGAAATTGGGATCAATCGAGTAAGATAGTAGTTAAGTAGTTTTTTTTTAAGAGGTTAAAAAAATTTTTTCCCCTGTTATGTGGTTTAAAAAAGAAAATCTGATTTAAATTAAGATTACCGGCTAGTTAAATTGTGATAAAAATTGGAGGAATGATTTTTTTAATGAAAAATTTTTTATTAATTTTCATTATTAAAAATGTCAACATGGATATACGATCAATGATAATAGTTTGATAATGATATATGATTCATGATAATACTAATACTGATAATGATGGTGATGGTGACTATAATGATGATAACAATAGTAACATTAATGATGATTATGACAGAAATTGTAATAGTAATGATAATAATAAAAAAAAGAAATAATAGATATATGTGATTATAATCATTATTATGATAAAAAAATGATAATGATTAATAGAGTAAGAGAAAAAAATATATGGTAGTGAAATGAAAATGAATGAATGATATTATGAAAAATGTTGTGAAAAATGAAGGTATAGATAGAAAATAGAAGAGACGAAGTACGAGAAATGAGGATAGATGATGATTATAATGAAGGGATTAATACATTATACGCATTGATTATATGCTGATAGTATGGTAGTGTGATTATTTTTTGGGTGTATATCATTATTTCGATTATCATAATGGACACTTACTGGGAATCTATTTATTAATTGTATATTATTATATTCTTTGTGTACGGGGATTCGGTTAATTAATATCGATTATTGTTTTATGATATTGATAATCATCAGGTTTATCGAGTAATCATTTTCATTATTATTAGTGTTATTGATATTGGTTATTAATTACTATCTTCATGGCTATTATTTTGATTAATGCATTATTAAGGTAGGAGAAGGAGATTAGAAGAGCAGGGAAGAGGAGGAGAAGAGGAGAGAGAGGAGAGAGAGAAGAGAAGAGAGAGGATTTGATTATTATTATATTAGATTATTGTGTGATCTTCATAACATCACAGTTATCAGCAGCAGCATTACTATTATGTTTATCATTATCATTGTTATTACTATCTTTATCATAATTTTGATTTTTAACATTACTGATATTTTTGCACCTTTTATATTCATCCTATCTTTTATCATTATTATTACTACAAAAAAGAATGTGTGTGCGCGTGTGTGTGTGTGAGTGTGTGTTTGTTTATCTGTGTGCATAGTGTTTTTATTATACATATAATGGATATACATACAACGTCGCTACATGACCCAGAGTTCGCAAGGCTATCCTACCCCCTCTCCCTCTCCCCGCCGACGCCCGCATCAAACAAAATCCATTTTTGGATTTATCGGCCCGTCGCGAGAGAGACTGGAATAAAACGTCGCTGTGAATTGCGCTCGTGCCTGTCCTCGGCTGGAATTTTATTACCGAACAAACCTTGTATTACACTATATGAGTATGTATGAATTACCAATATATATACTATATTTGCGTGTGTGTTTATATATATATATACTATAATTAGCATAAGATATATAATATAATATATATATATAATATATATGGTAGTGTGTGTGTGTGGGTGCTGTGTAGATGGGTGTGTGTGTGTGCCTGTGTGTTGGGTGTGTGATCGTGCGGCCCTGGCCGATTAATGTGTGTGATGATTGATGCTTATAGACTTACATATATATATATCTATATATATTATAATATATACTCATAATAGTGCTCTAATACGGCTGTAGATAAGTATATAACTACTACTAGCTATATTGGTGTGCAGAATGCTGTCCGTGTTTTTCCGCATACTTTGTGTGTGGTGTGTGTGTGTCGTGTGAGTAGTAGTAGTGCGTGTGCGAGAAGGGCTGGTGTGATGTATTTAGTATAGACATACTATATATAACTATTAATATATATATACTATGTATCTATAAGCGTATACTCTCGGATATATCATAATATACTAGATATATCGAGCTATATATATCGTAATATAGTGATATGATATGATTATATATATGATAGCAATTATATATAAGTATATCACTATATAGGTATAATTAATATATCTATTACGTATAATAATACTAGCTGTATTATATTACTAATATTATATGATACTGATATTTACTATAAATTCTACTACTATGGTATATATAACACATAGTTAATATTTATATAATAGTTACAAGAAATATATAAGTGCGTACCTAAACTGATATAAACACTATGATCATTATGGTACTATCTCGTAGTATAAATCGATACCTATATATATACATTCAATGATATATAGCTATAGTAATAATAATATAGACACAGATAAATATAACAATAATACTAATAATATATATATATATATAAGCTTACATAGGTAATATTATATATATAGTAGCTATACAAGGATACTTACTAATATAATATATGTGTGTGTGTGTGTGTGTGTGTGTGTGTTGTGTGTGTGTTGTGTGCTCTGTGTGTGTTGTGTGTGTAGGTGTGTGTGTGTGTGTGTGTGTGTGATGCGTGATGTGTGTGTGTGTTGTGTGTGTGTGTGTGTGTGTGTGTGTGTGTGGTGTGTGTGTGTGTGTGCTGTGTTAGTGTTGTGGTGTTTGTATGTAGTATTAAGATAGATAGAGAAGAGAGAGGAGAGAGAACAGAGAGAGGAGAGAGAGAGAGAGAGAAGAGAGAGAAGAGACGAGAGAGAGAGAGAGATGTCTGGTATGTGTGGGCGTTTGCATAAGAGGAACACTTAAGTAAACAAGAAAAAATATTTTAGGTGGAATATTCGTACCCAATCCCACTTAGCAGGATAATCACCAATCCATGAAACGCACAAAAACACCTGGGCACCCGTATGAGTGATTTTTTTTTATGTGTGTGTGTGTGTGTGGTGTGTCTTGTGTAGCGTACGAGCGTGTGTAATGTTGTTTACATAGCTCTTTCATCTGTCCCACTCTACCTCAACGTGTGGGTGGCAATTCCTTCTTCAAACATATTCGTTCTTCGTGCAATCAGTCCCCAGAGGCTCTCTTCCGAGTAAACGAAGCTTCACCAATAATGAGGTCTTATTTTGGTTGTTAACAGATTTTATGGAAATTCAAGAAATTCCATTTTCTATGCTTAATATTTCTGTTCTTCTTGTAGGTCTCGGATATCTATAGGACGACAAATAGTTGCCTGAAGCCTTGTTATATCTCATTCTTCTCTTTTCTCATTCACTCATTTCCTTGCTTCGCTCCACCCAACAGGAAATCCATTACGACTCTGCTCGCGGGGGCGTGTCCGTGCTGACGGAGGCGGGCGAAGTGACCCGCTCCGCCCTCCTCATCCAAAAGGCCACGCGACAGGACGCCGGGAACTACACCTGTCAGCCCAAGGGCGCCGCCTCAGCCACCGCCTACGTCCATGTGCTCCACGGTAGGTGTGTGTGTGTGTGTGTGTGTGTGTGTGTGTGCGGTGCATGCAAGGCTATGTCTAAATTCGTTGATCTGGCGGTTTAAACATCTGCCAGTGTTTTATCCTGCGTGTTTTTCTGACTGTATGGAGGAGGCGGGGATGTGACCATGTGAAAGCACGATTTCATTTTTCAATCTCGCTTAGATATCGCCTCATCCTGTAGTTCCCGAAGTAGGAAACGAGCTAGTCTCAGGTGGGGTGTAGACCGTCTGCCAGAAAAGGAACTTTTGTACACGAAAGTGAAACTTTGA